TAAAACTTCTATTTATAATGGAAACAAAAGCAAGCAAAGACCCCAGCTGAATTATAAATTAGTCTGTTACATAAAAAGCATTCTTGAAAAGATGAATTCATTACAGTACGAATTTAATGGCAGGTATTTTTATGCTACACACACACACACACACACACACACACACACCACTGCAGTATGAAGACATGGTATACTTTATTCCTATCTTCACTCTTGACATTAGTTTTTTTCAATCAGCACTCAATTATTCTAATCTACTTCGCAATGCAATAAGGAAAGAGAAACCACAAAGAAAAAGAGCTCCTGTTAAATCCTTAAAATATTTATTTAATGGGAAAGGCCCATAACTAGAATAGCAATGTGGAAGGGGGACCAGGAAGCACTGCAAGGAACATGTTACTGACATTTAAATTTTTGTATTAAGAAAGAAAACGAAAGAAGAATATTAAAAAGTGAAACAAACAAGTATTAAAAAGTGAAATAAGGGGGGTATTAAATATTTATTGGGGAACACTAACAAACAACAAGGTAGAGAGCCACTGTGGTCCTCTGCTCTGTGCAGGGAGCTGTAGTCAGATCTCCAACAACCCAAGAGAGCAAGTGAACCCCTCCTTCCTCAGATCATCCCCATAGATAGAAGACCACACCCTAAGTCCAGTACCCCCAAAAGCTACTGGCTGAATGAACTCCCAAAACAGGTACCATACAAAGTACTACAAGTATGGCCTAGATCAATGGGGAACACCACCTGTAACTCACACACTAAATCCAAGGCCCAATTCCAGGCTACTTTGGTAATTCAGCCCATGCAAGGTATCCCTTATGTGCCACTTTGTGAAATCATCCTGATTTTCCATATCCCAGTTTTCCTCACTTTATATTTACAAAATTAAATCATGGATAACACTTCTGTAGAGTGTTTTATTTGCCCAACCTTACCTATGTGAGAGGCTCAGCTGATAGGAGTCAAGGAGGGGCCACTATAGATGATTATTCCAATGACAAGAACTGATTTCTAGAGAACCAGAGGCTGTATACACAACCACAGCACGGTTGTCCTAACAGGTCTGCCAAACTCTCCTATTGGAGCAGGTTCTACACTCAAGGATTTACAGGATTATGCGGGCAATCCTCACTCAACAACCACCCATACAATCCTTTGAAGAACTATTATTTTTTGGTAGGTTTACCCCCTCCCCTCTTTAGTGACAGATCAAATCCAAGGCTCTAAGATACTAGCTCCATCACTAAACCACACCCTCAAGTGTTACAAACGAATTCCTGAACATCCTTCCTCATCTTGAGGGCATGAAGCTGAACTTGAACTCCTGGACAATTACAAATGTGACCTGAAAACTTTTGAACCAAGGCTTTATTCTCTGAAGACAGTATTTCTAAACAAAATCAATTTAATTAGAATGAAGTTTCACCATGGTCTTTAGAAAATTCAACTTAGATGAAATGGTATATTTGTGAGTTCAAGGCCAGTCTGGTCTGCCAAGGCTACACAGAAAACCCTGTCTCAACAACAACAACAAAAACCCCACCAAACGCCCCTTATTCCCCCTCTCCCTCCCTGCACACAAGGAAATACAAACACGAGGGGGAGGGTACTGGTTATCTTGGGTACATGCACACTTGCTTTGGTATACTTTCCCTCAGTTACAGAAACAAACTTCCAAGCATAATGGTTCATGCCTATAATCCAGGACTCAGAAGGCTGAGGCAGAAGGACTGCAGCTGAGTCAGAGGCTAGCCAGCGTACTCTATCTCACTCTTCCTCTTAGGGTGGGAGGGTAGGGGAGAAGAACTCAATCGTAACTTTAGATAGTTCTTTGCATGGTCATATTCTAAATTGCATTTAAACTTGGAATATAAAAAGACCTAATGCAGGTATGAATGTAGGTAACCAACAGCAGCAATGTGGGAGGTATATTTTTCACTAGTGGAAATCAGAAATTTTCACATCATGTTATATATGCTGCAGGTACCTCGAAGTAAACATTTATGCTCATCAATAGTTGTAAATCCCATTACTGAAGGATTACTACTACTGGGCATGGTGATGCACACAAATTCAAATCATCCTACATAACCAGTTGGAGTCCAGTCTGGGTTTCACGAATTCTGCAAGAGGACCCAGAAACCATGGTCCATTGTGATGTAATCTGATGTCTAGATTCTTTCTTTCTTTTTTAAATGGCCTGAGAGATAAGAGTGGTTCTTATGTTTTAAAATATTTTATATTTTATGATTTTGGGTGTTAGACACATTAGTTTAGGACAGCAAAGAAAAAGAGCACCATTTCACTCAAGTGTCAGCGCAGCACACACTTTACTCTGAATCAAGAGGGCATGCTCGGGAAGAAGGAACAGACCTAACTAGGAAGTGAACGGTGATTGTCTTTCTCCATTGGGGATTTCCAGGGTCTCATTCTAGCTCACACTGGCCCCAAGTTCTCAGGAAGCCTCTTGTCTTAGCCTACACAGTGCTTGGATAGATGTGAACCACTAGCTCCAGATGTATTTTTATTCTTATGCATACTATGCAGTAACTGTCTACTTACAATGATAAAAATCATAATGTAATTACCAGCAAAAAATTGTACAGTCCAGGATAGTCTGGTTAACAACTGACAGGTCTAAAGGACACCATGTTCAGAGCTTATAAAAATTACTGAAAAACCCCATGGTTTCCAAGTTGGTTTAAAAATAAAACAAAGCCACTTCTGCAGTGGGCAGTCTGCTGGTTTCGTTGACAAAATCTTTATAAAAACATTGTTTACTTTTCTTTATGTGTATTTGTGTTTTGCCTAAATGTGTGCCTCTGCACCAAGTGCAGGACTATTGCCTAAGGAGGCCACAAGAGGGAATCAAACCTGGGTCCTCTGGAAGAACATCCAACGCTCTTAACCAGTAAGCCATAACTGCACCTGTCCCATTAACAAATTTTAACTGGGCATTTCTTTCAACTGAGCGCACAGCCAGAAACAAAAATAAGGAGATTAATTTGAACAGCTAGTAAATTTAGTATAAGGCTACTCACAGTTAAAAAGTATCTACCCAAAAGACTGGATTATCTGATAAATCACATTTAGAGAAAAGTTGGTTATAAGAAAAATTATTGTTATAAGAAACATAGATATGAAATTATAAACCATATACAAGTGATTACAAGTGTTTTAAAATGAATAAATGACACTGGGAATGGCAAAACAAAGCATGTCTTTAATCCTACCACTTCAGAAACAAAGGCAGGTGAACTAAACATAAGCTTGAGGCCAGTCGGTGCCACAGTGAGGAAGTTGGTGGTAAGATTCATTTTTAATCTCTCTGACCAAACCAACATATAATTTAACATGCATGCATTAAATACAAAATTAAAATACTACTCCACACATACTTTACTCAAGATAAACATACTTTACTCAACATAAAGCATTCCTCTTAAACCTATGGACTATTACAGAGACAACAGTAAGTGTTTTTAGGGCTAACAGTATAATTCAGGGAGAGAGAATGTGTTTAGCATGGCCAGGGCAGAAGAGCAGATCCCTAGCACACTTCCCAAGAAGAAAATTCCTAACAATGCCTAAGACAGAGCAAACCAGTCTTCCACACACATCACTAGCAATGCTACTTTTGAGTTCAAAGAATTAACCCTCTAGTTTACCAGTCTACAAAATTTCACCCAAAAGTCAGTATAGCACATTTATAGATATCACTAAAATATATCTGCCATGCAGGCTGACATAAAAAGTCAGAAAGCTACTTGTAGGATGACAAAGCTAGGCGTGGTATCGCATATCTGTAATTTCAGCACTCCTGTCATCCCTGGACTAGAAAGGTGGGGGCAGGACAACCAGAGTTAAGGGCTAGCCTTGGCTACCTAACAAGTTCAAGGCCAGTGCAATAACTCTCAGACACCATGAAAAACACACCACTGTCCACCTCTCTCAGCCAATATGAACATTAATACCAGGCCTAGCTTACCAACTTAGCAGACTGTATTCACTATGACAAAATGATGAAACACACCATTTTTTAAAATAAAAAACTGTATTTTCAAATTAAGTAATTATGTGGGTGTCTGTGTGGGTTTGTGCACATACCCACAGAGGCCAGAAGAGGGCAATGGAGTCCTTGGAGTGAGAGTCACAAGAGTCACTGAATGCCACCCAAACTTGTATCGTCAACAGCAGTATCCTCCACCTCTTAAGCACTGACCCATCTCTCCAGCCACCTTTAACTATTTCAAAATCATAAACTGAACTCCTACATGGTTTCAAAGGGCCAAGGGACTAGGGCAGCCTTTTGTTTGAGTCTGTCCTAAGCTGTCTCAACTTGGATCAAATCAAAGAAAATCTGGATGACCACATCTATAGTCCAGCTATCTGGGAAGTGGAAGCAGAAAGCGCTCATCTTGAGCTCAGGAGTTCTATGCCAGCCTGGGCAACACAGAGAAACCCAGTCTCAAATCAAAGTAAAGCAGAGATGAGCTCTTATCAGGAAGTTCTGTATTCTCTGTCTACACAGATAACATCTACTCTAAAATTCTAAACATCTCAAAGGTATCAAAGAGCTGTCAACTTGGCAGTTAAGGAAGAAAAGAGCCTAGAGACTCCAATTTAATTCTGTTATTGTACTGGTTATGAGAACAGAAGATATATAAGCCACAGGAATGTAGTGAAACCTGATTTTAATTTGTTAGGCAATATTTTGCCAGGAGTACAAGTCAAAAATCAGAAAAATACACACACAAGAGAAGACATTTGTACACTCAAAGTAGCTAGCATAAGGGGATGACATTTGCTGGTGAACACAAACTCAAGAATGAACAAAGTAAAGAATGAACAAACATAAAGTCTGTGAATGTGCTTGTATATGGAGTCTACACTGTTATATACTGGCCAACGCTGGGTTTGTCACAAGAGAGTGGAGCCAATGTTAGCAGGTTAATGAGTTCCCTATACAAGAAATAATAAGACCAGGGTTACTCACGTTATATCCCTTCGCTGATAGCAGCCCTGAAGCAGGCAGGCAATCAGATCACTGATAAACTCCGAGTCATCTCTGTGAAGAGCTGCCTCTAACTCCTGAGAAAAGAGGGAGAGAGAAATAGATTAGACATCTCTTTAAATAAAGGACGGTCACGAACAATGCTGCCCTTCTTCCTATGTGTACTTTCAGAAGGACAATGGGAGCTTCGCATTCTAGTTTATTTCTTTTATTACTTTTTTACTAGCTTCCATTCCCTTGTAGAAGAAATACACAAGGAAATTTCTTTTTTAAGAATGGATGCTAATTATATAATCAAGAACTTGACAGAAAGTGCGTGTGATACGTGCTGTGGGTCGATGTTGAGCTGGTTTTTTCAATTGCTTCTCCAATTTATTTTATGAGACAAGGTCTCTCATCAAACCAGGAGACTGGAAGACTTAACCTGGATCTCCACCTCCCCAGCACTAGGGTTGCAGGCACACAGTCCACATTTGACTTGTTTATATGGGGTTAGAGATTTGAGCTCTGGTTCTCATGCTTGCATTGCAAAGCACTTTACAGAATGAATCACCCTTGCTCATATTTTAATGACAATGAAGATTACAGAAACACCATACAACTGATTATAAATTAATCTTTACTTGACAGTCCTATTAGATAACCCACCAGCAACAGCTTTAAAAAACCTCTATGTTTTGAACAAAGTAGCACTGGAAGAATATATGGCTCTACCTACAAGACTGATAAAAGCAGGTTGCTGGAATAAAATAATCCTTACATCATCTGGAGAGAAATGAGGTAACGACTGTTAATAATTTAATCATAGGTGAGGTGCATTTGCTTGCCCTGAAAGTTCAGGTAGAAGCTACAGAAGACAGATGATCTTCATACAGAACTTAGAAATTAAGAGATGGGTCAATGGGCAAAAAGTGGTAGTGGGAAAACATCAGTAAACTTATTTCTCTTCTCAACCCTCCAAAACAAGAATGTTTTCTGATGAAATATGCTCTAAGTCATTAATTTTTGTACAACCTAAATTTACAGATTCCCAAGCATCTGCTTACAACTGACTAGTTTACAACTAGATCTAAAACTAAAAGGAAAAAAAAATCAAATGTACCTTATCTCAAAAGCAAGACATGTGATTTCAGATCTCAACACCAATTATATAGCTACGCGTTCATAGATAGTCTATTTCTACTATAGAGAAACAATCAAGTTTTTATGAAATTGTACAAATTGTTCCATTTATTTATTGAAAGTCCTAAATTTGGAAGTCTTTATTCTCAAAATGTAATGGGCTACTCGAGACTCTAAGATAACAAAAACCAAAACAAGCCACCACCACCACCAACAACAACAACAACAAAAGGCTCACAGTTTAAACCTAGTTAGAATCCAGGAATGCTTAAGCTAGAAGGTAAACTATAGGTCACACACTTTAACTCTCCTAACAGATAGCTAGGCCTAGTATAGCACATCTGCAATCTGCAATCTCAATACGTTAGCAGAATAGAACATTCAAGGCCAATATGGGTTTTAACAGCAATATTTTCAAAATAAACAAAAAAAAAAAACAACAAAAAAAAACATCTAAAGAAATGACTTTCTAAGTCAGTAAATCAGTGATAGAGCCAAGGGGGGGAAAAGGAAAAAAGTTACCCAATTACTCTTGGGCAAACAAAACTCCCTCTCCCTCATTAACATTCTTATTTTAGAAAGGTTCAGTGGGGCTGGTGAGATAGTTAGAGGGTAAAGGCACTTGCTGTCCAAGTCTGGTGAACTGAATTCCATCTTTGAAGCCCATGTGATGGTGTCTTCTCTCCATCCCTACAGTCGTAATAATAATAACAACAACAACAACAACAACAATAATAATAATAATAATAATAAAGACCTGTGTGTGGTAGGCCAATAAAGTCCTAGAGAGTCATTAACCCACACCAATCAGAAGCAAGGACAGAAAGTTTGCAGGGAGGAGACAAAACTCTGAAGGGCTATAAAGAACCACGCCCAGGGCAGCTCATCAAAAGCTAGTCTCCAACAAACTTCAGTGCACTACAAGAATCACACAGCAACAAGGGATTTTTCTAATGAATGTTGAGTGTCTGCCACCCTGGGTGACTTGGCTAAGCACAACTGAGGCCATGAGGCCTTGAGGCCTCTGTAGCTCTCAAGGAACACTGCTCCAGAGGAGCCTCTGCTGTGGAGTCAGCATTCACTGTCCTTTCCCCACGTGGTAGTTTGCTATGCACTAGACAACTTGTGCTACCCCTACCCAAAGTCCAAGTGAGTAAACTATGCCTCTAGATATAGTGGTATCACATAGAGCTAGACTGTTAGATAGTTAACAGTCATTGGCTGTGAGCTGACTCCTTTTCCCTGAGGTACAATATTGTGAACAATAGTCTATGCATTCAAAAGAACAAACCTGACTGCCTGCCTCACTGTAATAAGTTCAAGACACTTGTCTTTTACAACAAGTCTTCCTAGATGCCTTCTATTCTGTGATCCTGCCAAAATACCATAGCTACCTTAACACATTGTAACACACACTCTATGGGACTTACTATGTCTCCTTGTCTACCACATTGTCTCAAACATAACTGAATCAATCCCTGCTCCTCTGTGCTGGGGATGAAACCTAAGGCCTTCAATATTATAAACAAGCACTCACCACTGAAATATATATACCAACAGCCCTACTCAATCCCCTTTAATAACATAATTTTTTACTGATTCTTTGGGAACTTCATATCATGCACCCCAATCCCAGTCCCTCCATATCCTTCCAAGAGACTCCCCCCCCGCCCGCCACCACAAAAAAATACTACATTGGATGTTGTATAAAAGGAGAGAAAGTTAGCACTCCCCTTGACAAGGATGGAAGAGGCCCTTGGGCCTAACAACACGCATACGGTTAAGACATGCCACCTACTTCGTGGCACCTAACCACTGTTTTTTGTTTTTTAAGAAAAAAAATTACAGTGGGGGGAAAAAACAAACAGAACAACAAAAAAAAAAAAAACAACTCTTTGTCTTTTTCCAACACCTCTTCACTCACTTGGGCCTTGGTGGTAGGTAGCAAGAACCACAGACATCAATTCAGACCCTGCCTGCTGTAGGGCCAGAGACACAGACATGGCCCTCATAAGCAGCCCAGCCCAGGTGACACCAGGGTCCTGGAGGCAGGATAGCCCTCCGTCACCAACATTGTTACAGGTTGGGGCTTAGACCCCAGGCATCCGTGTGGCCTTTGGTAGCAACATGGGTCACAGACATCAACACAGGCCCTGCCTGAGGTACAGTTATGGAGTCAGAAGTGGCCCTACACAGCAGCTGGGGCTACTTGGGCCCTTTTAAGACACATTTCTAGAAGGCCTTTTCCCAGAGAATTTTAGGTTAAGAATTATTAAGGTTAGGTTCATCAGTGCACACACAGGAGGAAGGGACAGGCAAAGCCAGAGATACACACTGATACTGTCACCTCCCAGAAATTTTAAATAGCGCCTTTATCCCTCTCGTATAGGTAATGGTGAGTCCCAGCAGTTTGTATCAATAAATGAACCAAAGACTAGACAGTGAAACATGCCTTTATCTCATTGTGTGGTGGAATGTATAGTAAGACTATTGTAGGAGAAAACAGCAACAACAAAAAGAACAGAAGCCATTTTAATCCTAGTGAAAAAAAGAATCAGCTTGGTTAACCTTTTCCACATTAGACACAGAAAATAAAAAAGTTCTAGAGATGTATTTCAGTGTGAATATACTTTGTGCTACTAAAATGTGCACCCAAGCGGCTAGTAGCAAGGTACTACTGAACTGTAGTTAAAAGTAGTTTGGGGGTAGGGGGTGTTGAAGAGATGACTCGGCAGTTAACAGAGCACTAACTGCTCTTCCAGAGGACCGGGATTCAATTCCCCGCACTCAAATGGCAGCTTACAACTATCTGTAACTCCAGGATCCAGCACCCTCACACAGATATACATACAGGCTGTATATATTATTAAAATAAATTTTTAGCCGGGCGGTGGTGGCGCACGCCTTTAGTCCCAGCACTCGGAAGGCAGAGGCAGGCGGATCTCTGTGAGTTCGAGGCCAGCCTGGTCTACAAGAGCTAGTTCCAGTACAGGAACCAAAAGCTACGGAGAAACCCTGTCTCGAAAAACCAAAAAAAAAAAAAAATAATAATAATAATAATAAAATAAAATAAAATAATTTTTTTAAATGGTTAATGGGGAAATGATCATTTTAATTGTCCAACTTTAAAATTTGTTGCCACAATTTAAAATATTTTTTTTTCTATTGGGAGTAAACTGAGTTGTCCAGGGACTAAATAGATGGCACAGTGGTTAAGAGCTGCTCTTCCAGAGAAACTGGGTTCAAACCTCAGAACCCATATGGCAGCTACAACCATCTGTAGCTCCTGTTCCAAGGAATCCAACATCCTCATACAGACATACATGCAGACAAAATACCAATGCAATATAAAGCACAAATTAATAAATTATACATATTAAAAAGGTGTCTATCTCCAAGGACTGCTGTGATAAGATGGAGCAGCATGGTTCCTGATACATATTATGAATACTATACACCATCTTCCTTACAATGACAATCTGAGCAAACACTAAAGAGAGAAGACTATCATCTTCTTCAAAATTTACAAGTTTCTGAATAGAAACTGAAACTCTCTTTTAACTCACAGTCCACTATGTCCATGCTCTAATAAAGCTTCCTGCAAAGAACTACTTGGAAATCCAGGTTATTCAAAGCTTTATTATTCAAGGTTTCAATCTAGAGCTGTTGTAAACTGTTTTAAGACTGAGGCAGCAAAAGAGCCTCCTAAAAAAAATCTCCACCCCAACTTTTTTTTTCTTTTCTCACTTTCTCTTCTACTCTTTTACAAATCCCTTTCACTGTGTGCAATGAACTGTGAGCACCGAAATCTGACCTCTGCCAAGATGCTCAGGGCCAGAAGAGGAAGGGAAGGGAAAGAGCAGAAAAAAGCAGCAGATCGGCAGAGAGAGGGGAACCTTGTTCCCAGCCGCTCCAAAGCTTCAGGGAGTAGGTGAAGAGAGTAACAGGATTTGCC